GGCTAATAGGGTTGGAACTCCCATTTTTCATATCCTAAATTTGAGGTCGAATTTTAGTAAGTTGTTGAGGCACATATCTACTCCAGAACCAATGTTGTCTCCAAACACACGACATGTCTTCGATAGGGATGCCCTTTGTCTCCGGCAAGAACAAATAAATGAATATGGTCATCACAGCCACGAAAAAAGCGAAGAAGAAGAACAACCCAAATTTCATATGGCAAAGCATGGTGAGGAAGATTTGGGCAATCAAAAAGGTAAAGAACATATTCACCGATGCTGTTACGCTTTGAGCAGCTGATCGAATTTCAAGTGGGAAGATTTCGCTTGGAACTAGTCATCCCAAAGGTCCCCAAGACCATGCAAAGACTTGAACATATATGCACATGAACAACACCACAACACCATCATACCACTTGGGTAAATAAGCAACCTCACCAGAAACTCCAAATTTCCAAGCTACGAAGATAGCCACCAAAACCTACAAATGATCTCACATCTTTATTAGAATCAAATCAATCCGGAGACAAAAATCTTTTGAAAAACTATCATTTGTTGATCTTATTTTTGGCTCAGTTTTGTTCTAGAAAACAAAATAAAACTTATTTGAAATAGTAAAATTTTAATCACCTGACAAATGAACATGATGGTTCCACCGAGCAAGAAAAGAATCATCCTTCCCCACTTATCAGTACCATACATAGATACAAAAGTTGCCAAAACATTAATACCACCAGTAATGACGGATGAAAGAAGAGAAGCATTGTCTCCAAAACCAATAGTCTTAAATAGCACCGGAGCATAGAACATGACCACATTGATCCCTGTTAATTGCTGAAAAATGGGATTAAAACGGACATTACCAATTGTGGTCTGTTTTGTCTCTCTCTCAAATTCCTCCATGGATGTGTCACTGCTTTAGCAGCAATACTTGCTGTCACTATATCTTGAAATTCTGCATCTACATCCTTCAAAGACACACCGCGAATGCTTTGGAGCATTACTCTTGCCTTCTCGATTTCGCCTCTTTCCAACATTGAAGTTGGAGTATCGGGAAGAAATAGAGCCGAGATTGTGATGAACAATGCAGGCACTGCCGCACCACCTAGACTCACGCGCCACCCCCATCCGCCATGAATCTTGGCAGTACCAAAATTAACAAGATTTGCCACTAGAATGCCAATCGTAATCGAAAGTTGAAAAACAACATTTAGAGAGCCTCGATATTTAGAAGGAGTCATCTCTGAGACATAAAGTGGAACAGATTGAATGGAAAATCCAACACCAATGCCCAAACAAATACGACTGATAATTAGCATTGCAAGGTTCTGAGCAGCAGCATTAATGGCGGCACCAACCAAGAACACAAAGCCACCAAGAAGCATAGACTTTTTACGACTGAAGGTTTTGGTGATCCAAGATGCTACAAAAGAAGCCAAAAGTGCAGCCAAATAAAGAGAGGAAGTAAACATGGTGAGGGCAACACTATCAAATTTGCAGTACTGATTGGTTGAAGTGTCCAAAGCTTCTTCCTCATAAATAGATGGGAAAAATCTCTGTAAAAACGGAGCCATAGACGTGACGCCACCCAATCAGATCAACAAAGCAAAATAATAATTAATAAATTATAAATTATAAATTATATGGGTCGTCTTCTAGGGCCTTTTCTAATAAATAAATTTAGTACATAAATTTTTACTCTTTCATGTATTATTTTGTATTATTTTTTTTTATGGGTACGCATTATCAAACTTTCATTTATTTTAATTTCCAAATTTTTTTTACCTATCAAAATTATTTATAATATTGAATTAATTTATCAAATATATATTTTAAAACTCTTTAATATTTTCTACCGGTGATGGGCTTCCTAATCTTTCAAAACGAACTTTTCATTTGTCTATACCTTAAGTTGGCCTTACGTGACCAAACAACCCATTTATTACCTGAGATACCGATGTCATAACCGAAGATAAGCCCACCCATAGCAGCAACAATGCAGGTTATCAACACATAAGAAGTTAATTCTCCGGGATAGTTTTTAATCGAACCACCTTGATTACCATTTATCTCGAAACCGCCGCCAGCCATCTTAAGAATCAAAGAGAGGAAGTAGGGAATTTGGACCGAGACTAATAGAAGAGAAGAGATTGCAGGATGTGAAAAAATAAGGAGTCGGTGGGGGAATGGAATATATAAGGCAAACATTTCCCAAGATAATTAGAAATCTATTTCCTAGTGAATTACTAAAATCCGTGTGTATGAAAGACTTCTTTAATGAGATAATTAAGTCATTCTAAAATTAAAATAGTATTTGTGTGTAAATGCCTCTGTAATATCTATTCATAAATAATTCATAAGATAATTCAAATTTTTGTAGTAAAAGATTAATATAAGTTATTTGTGGAAGAAAAATTATTTATTTAGGCTATTCTAAAACCATAAATTACATTGGGGTAAATTCTCGGTCCAAGTCCTGATATTTCGGGCTGAAAATAAAATTGAAATTTTTCTTAAAAAAAAAAAAATAAATTGGGGAAATTTAAATTTGAAGTTCAAATGCAAAATGGAAAAAGAAATCTGTAATTTTGAATCCAACTGGAAAGCATAAAACACATTTTTCAAATTTCGAATCTATTAAATTTCCTTCGTTATTGGTTTATCATCTATATGCAATTGCACACACGATTTGATTAACAATAAATTTATTTTTTACGTTTAAAACAATACTAAATTTATTTAAAAGTTTCTCATTTGCAAGCTCCAACACGGTGCAAGGTTCTTGACCAGTTGAGTCGTTCGATTCGACATCCCGTTTGTTATTTATTCACTTTTAGAACTGTAAAAAAAATTTAACGATGGGGATTAGATCATTAGCCGAACGTCCCGTTTCTTGGTTTTAGTTTACAATTTTATTGAAAAAATTTTCACGAAACATTCTCAAAATTATATAGAAATTTTGAAAGAAAAAAACGAAATCAATTTTCTTTCTTGTGTTTGTTTTCAATTTTTTTCCAAACATAAATAAAAATRTTATTTTACGATTCCCAAACATGTGTTTTTTTTTAATAAAATAGAAAGAATTAAGAAACAATATCAAATGTAAGTTTATTTTTCTTTGTTAAAAAAAAAAAAGAAAACAAGAAGTATAAAGTAAGAAACAAGAAACAAGAATGTCACAAAATAAGTTCTTAATGGCAATGTTCGTGGAGTTTCATCACATAATAGAAGAGTGAGGGATTTTTTTTTAATAATACTTTAATTCAAATTTATTCCAAATATATATCAACCTTCAAACTATTTCTAAGAATAATGCTTGGAAAGTTATAGGTCGTAGCCACTTCACAATTTTCGAGTTGCATGGCACTTTGTTGGCGCCATGTGTATTTTTTTTTTTAATTCTGGCATGTCGTCTCTTCAAATAGACAACATATGTCTAAATTGGCAAAATTACTACTCTGATATAGTTGTTGTAAGTTTGCTTTTTAATCTGAAGTTCATGATTCAAGTCTCCATTATATCACTTTTTCTTTTCATTTTTAGTAAAAAACATATTATTAAGAAAAATATAATTAGTGTTTTTACTGAATACTATAATTATTACATTAATATAATTCATTTCATTTACTTTAATGGTAAAATAAAATCTATCTTTTATTCTAAAATATTTTAAAAACAATATATCTTTTAATAGTAATTATTTTTTTTAGAATTAGTACTGGTTTCAATAATATATGTTTTTACTAGTGATTTTTTTTTATAATTAGCAATCGTTTTAGAAAATTAAATTTTAATAAGTAACATTTATTTAAATTTTTTTAAAAGAGAAATAATTACAATATAATTTATTTTATTTATTTTTATAATATGAGTAGGTGCTAATTACCATTGAGCTACGTTCATGTAGGTAAATATAAATTCTATCTTTTCTTCTAAAAGAATTTTTTAAAATGATATTTTTTTAATTAGTAGTTATTTATTTTAGAAGAGAATATAATTTCAATATAACATTCTATTGAATAAAAAATAAATGAAAATGTAATATAATAGAGACGAATCCTACGAACTAACTTCTTCCTTGTTAGTTGTCCGGCCTAGAAACAACCAATATCCAAAATCAATCCTTTAAAATTCAACCAATTACTAAGCAAATCTTATCTACCCAATTTTTCGATTCAGAACACCTTTTTTATGCAAAACAATTAAGAAAGTATGGATTTGGGTTACAAAACCAGATCTGTAAACTCGATTAAAAAACCTCTAAATTCAACAATAACAAACTTTAAAATTACAAAAATCGTTATAAATCAATATGGACTAAATTTACAAAAAGCTTCTCAACAAGCTTAAAAACCTTCAAAACAATTGAAAATTTGGGGATTTTAAATCTGTAAAATTTTCTGTTTTATAAAATAAAACTAGGGCCTCCAAATTGAAAAACAAGCTTACCATCACTATACCTGATTTTGCACAATTTTGGCATATGTCAACATGCCAGATTAAAAAAAGAAAAAAAAACACATGGCACCAGCAAGCGCCATGCAACTCGGGAATTGTGAAGTGGCATAGAGAGACGATCTATAATTTTCCAAGCATTATTTTTGTAAATAGTTCGAAGGTTGATATATATTTGGAATGAATTTGAATTAAAGTATTATTAAAAAGAAATCTGAGTGAGCCTTATTTTGCTTTTCGTATATGTAAATTAGATGGAAAATTGTGAGTTCGAATCTCCACCCCACATGTTCTACTAAAAAAAACAAAAAACAAAGCAGAGATAACTAGAATTAAAGCAAGAAAATATCCTTTAACTAAAGAAATAGGAAATATGCTACTGTTATTACGTCATAATTATATGCTCCTCAAATTGACTTTTACATTAATTAATGGTTATTTAAAAGATCCAAAAAAATATGTTATGTAAATGAATTATGGATAGGGTGGTTTTCCCCTCCTGCATGTTTTTATAAATTTTTCAAAAGTCCAAACATCACAGAGCATGAATAAAGAAGAGTTAATTTTACTTTTACATGTAAAAAATTTGACTCACATTGCCAAAATTCATCATCAATCGTTACAAAATAACAGCCAAGCATATAATTAAAGCCTATTTGATTACCCAAAATTGATCATTACAACATTACAAAAAGAATCTAATTCTCAYCATCACTACTCAACTCAGATTCATATTCTTCTTCCCCGTAAAGAACATCATCGACTTCTTCATCATCATCGTCACTCTCATTTTCATCTATTACGGGACCGCGTTGTATCGCTGGATCGGTTATGTTGGCCGATGCCCTTTCAATCTGTCAAATATGAAAAACAATGCAACCCAACATAAGCTTTTCAAAAAAAATATATATATATATAGATACATATGAAAAAAATTGCCTAAAGAATGTAAGATCACTCACTTGTGCCAATACCAGTTGCAAGCGACCTGATAATTGAAGTAGAGGCTGAACCGCAGTTTCTTTGGATTTAGTAATCTGGAAGAGGAAAAGATTTATCAACTCTTGCATTGCCTTTTAATAATATTAGCAATCTTCATTTCTCAATTGGTTTTCCTTATTTTCATTTGGTTTGTATTCTCTTTTACAACTCAAAGACATAGTTGTAGATTTATAGTTGTACAATCTATAGAACAGATCCAACTTATGGCATGTATATTCTCGTGAATGACTTATTTTTCCCAAAAAAAAAAGGTTACTATTCCTTCTAAAACAAGGATTTGGGCCACTCAATCACAATTTTCTAAAACAGAACTGATTGCAAGACAGTTCTCCAAAGTTCAATATGAGAACTTTTAACACTTTTTAACTCTTTCCACAATGAATGCAAGACAGGCAAATCGAGAAGAGAAGGCATGCGAAAACTAAATACCGAAAGCGAAGGCAAAGGCAAAGCGACAGACTACCTTAAATAGAGAATCAAGTATCTGATTCGATTGTTCTTGAGACAAGACATGTTGGCTGTGATTCAACAATAAACTATAAATCCATGGTAGAACATTCTTTCCGCTACGCAACCTGGGGCAGACGAAACAAATCATTCGGTTACCCAAAAAACAGGATTATTTAACAAGTTGAAAAGAAGCTACATTCAAGTTAAACACAAATATCTAAGCCTATTTTTACCTGGATTGCCAGATGTTAACCAAGTTTCTGAGTAACTTGCATGCATCGACTGGTGCCAATGATAAGACTGCCTCTCTTAACTGAATAATAACATTGTGATGAGTGTTATAAACTAGAAACTTAAAAGAAAAAAGTACAAGGAACAGTTGTTTGAAATTGACAGTCATCACAGACTTTTTTCTGCGACATATTAGCTTCGAGATCGATGCCCTTGAATATTGTAGACTTCAGGATGGATTCAGATGTATGATCATCTGTAGTGTTCAGTATGCCTAGCGATCGAAGTTGGTCCTCAATGCAAACTGCTGTAGAGCCCTCTTCTCCAGCATCGTCTGGGCAAAGTTAAATTGCAACAGATAAGATCAAATTGTTTTCAAAAACTCAGTTTCAAAGAATATCAATATTAAACCATATTTGGTCTCAGTCTATCACAGAAAACTCAAGTAAGATTGTTTGCTTGAAGAAAAAAGTGAAGGTTTTATAGGTCAATGCTTCTGGAGCAATCTTATTGGAAGTTTGATTAGAAGAAAATAGAAAAAATTGTTGGAAATGACTATAATAAGATCTTGGTATCATGAGTCCTCATTGGAGCACTTTTGTAAGCCTTTTGGAGTAAATTTCATCTATCAATTTTTTTATAGAACAATATAAAAACCGCAAATAAGATAGCTCGAATTGTTGTTTGTACCTTCTGATCGGCTCCTGTTGTCGACTAATTGAGTCATTACTTCATTGCGGCCGACTTGCAAATCTTGATATAAGGTGCTTTTCTCTTGAGAATTGAAAACCTTCGGAATGGGACGTAAGGCATCTTCGACATTAGCTCGATCTAATACAACCACTGCAGAATATAAGAGAAGTGGTTAATGACCAAAAAGAACTTACGAGAATAGAAAATAATTCATGTTTAAAGGAAAGCAGCAGTATAAAATAATAAAGCTTATAAATACAGTTCATACACAAGACTTCATGATTTAAGCAATAGTGAACGAAAATTTCCAAGTAAGGTCTCACCTCCACCCTGTACATCTAAGCCCTTCTTGAACTTTCCAATCGATTGATTTGGTAGAAGAATTCCATCATGGGAGCTGCTTAAGATAATGTCAGTTCCAGAATGCACCACAACAGTCTGAAAGCATGGTTTCACTGGCAACCCATGTGCAAGGAACACTTGCACCGAGCCAGGTTTAGGAATTCCGTGTAATTTTGCTGTGTAAATTGCAGGTATCGCCCATTTTTTACTCTTGGAGGAAATATCATTATCAGATATTGATACTTTAGTAGGCTTGGCATTTCGTAACTCCTCAAGATTCTGTCCATACCAATAATAACAAACACCAATTTCTGATATAGCCAAAATGTTTAGAGTAGTTTCACCGGCTCCGTTCTTCATGCACCTACYGTCCACAAAGACAGCAGGGTGCTCCATTGCAAGAACACAACTAGCTGACTGCTTTTTCTCTCCACCTAAACTCCAAATCACAATATACCTTTCACCAACAGCGGACGAGAGGATGTATTTCCCATCTTCAGTAAAAACCATACATCGAACTGCTCCCTATTGTCAGAAGAGAAACAATTATCCAACAAGAACTTGGCAGTCATAAACAACAATGAAATACCAACAGAGAAGGTAGAGAATATAATACTCACAGGATGACCAGAAAACTTTTGTATCTTTTTGTGGTCAGAACAATTGAAGATCTTCATTTGTGCAGCTGCAGTTGCTATTATCTTGCCATCTAATGCCAGCCAAAAACCAAACCAAACATGTACTCAGTCAAATATCTCCAAATGCTTTTTGCTTTTCTTTTTTTCTTTTTAATAACCAACGTACTACAGAGCTCTCACTAACCTGAGAAGGCTTTGCCTACCCCAAAACCAGTTCCGAGAGACAACAGAGTAATAAAATTATAAAATTTTCACTCAAGGGCTTGAACGTAGAACCTTTCAAGAATCTCTAACGGTCCCAAGCCCTTTCCACTAGTGCCACCCTTGGCAGTTATCTGATACTTATTTCTCTTCCAAGTTTATTTTACTCATCCAAGTCTGATCATTGTAAATAAGTGACAGCCAAAGATTGTTTTGCTCTAGGGAAAAGAGGAGATTTGGAAATAAAGCAACAAGATAAATGTGCATGTGAATACCTGGTGAAACAGAAATACAAGATATTGGCTTTGTGGAAGCCTTAAACTTCCTCAGCAGGTTTCCCGTCAAAGAATCAATTTCGCATAGCATTCCATTGGCACCAGCGGTATAAATGCATTGACCATGAGTAGGAAATGAAATTGTAGTAACACCCCTGCACAAGAGAAAGATGACTGAATGCAAGACAACTCTGACTCTTTTTTTCACTTTCCCTTTTTTGGCAAGTACGTGGGATTGGGATATAGTGGTGGTTCATCCGACTGCATTGTTAAGAAAATACTTACAACTTCCTAAAGAATGTTGTCTACTCAGAGAACTGTGAAGAGACAAAACAAGTGGTACCATAAAACAGATTTTCGATCTTACCCAGGATGACAATCACTTATTTTCCACTTCAATTCACCAGCTGATACATCAAGAGCCAACACATCCCCACTACCAGTTCCTAACAATAACAACGAACATTGGCGCTTTCTTTTTCTCTGTATGGAAAAAAGAACACCTACAATAATGACATACTTAAAACACTCGAGAAAATTAAGAACCCATAACAAGAAATCTATTAATCTAGTTTACAAATGAGAAACCTTTTTTTCCCATGACAACCACTTCATGCATTTGTAATCAATTGATAGATGCCCTTTTTCTGGTTTCGTGAGTATGCTCGTTGAATTAGATGTAAAGAAATCTGCAAATTCAGCCTGTATCTGGCCCTTCAATGTGTCCCATATCTAATGACAAGAAGAGGCAAAATAATCATAATTTGAAAGAAAAAAAATGAAAGTCAAACAAGTTGCTATTACTGCCCAAAAACAACACACCACAAGTAAACATGTGAATGAGACAACTAATAGTTGAACCTTAATGGCCTAATGTCCCATATTCTGAAAAGAATTTACATTTTAAAAATCTTCTTGAAAAGATAATACTTAGAAGAAAGTTCCTACGGTCTCTATTCTCCTAGCAAGTAAATCACACATACAATTCTGAAACTTGCCTGAAATCATCACAAAACCCAAAGGTATGAGCTGATAAATTGTGATATATTTAGTCTTTTATATTCTTCACTCTCCCTCTCATGGATGGGCTCAAATATTAATTTCGTTCACAAAACAACACATGGACTATTAATATCAATTAAATAGAAACTGATATTATATAGTTCAAAGCTCAAACTCAAACCACCTACTTCTTTAATATCGATTTGAGCCAGCTTACGTCCACCATGACTAACCTCATTAGACAACCGACTAACCCTACTACATTTAGTGAACAATGAAACTCGTAGAATATTAAATCTTAGGGAGGTGGCCACCATAGTTTTAACTCATCCCCTTTAAGTCCATTACATTTTTCATCTCATGCCTCCTACTTTGATACGATATTATATCAACACTTAACCGATAAGTTACCTAACAACTGACCATGGTAAAAGTTTTGCAAAATAAATAAACAGTCAAGAAATAATGTACAATAGCCCCAAATAATGTTCTCATAATCGGCATTTGGCGTACAGTGAAAAAAGAGATACCTTAATTCGACCATCTCCAGAGCTGATAGCAAAGAAATGCAAATCAGAGCTATAAGATGTCAGTAGATCTCTGATATTTGACAATCCCATGATTCTGAAATTTAGAATAATAAAAAAATAAAAAAATAAACACATGAGGAAATGGAATAATCATGAACCATATACCTTCCTTTATTTCCCTTGAGAGGTATAACAAGATAACAATGAAGTTATTAACACAAAATAAACTTGCTGAATGAGTAAACTGAAAAAAAAGGAGAAATAAATAAAATAGCATGAAAATCACTAAAAACGAAAGAGAAGATTATAACACCCTAAGAAGCACGGAGCGAGTTGGGAATACGTCTATTTTTTTAAATACATTTTAGGATATATGTAAATTTAACACAAAAAATGCTAAATACAATAAAATGCATAAATATGAAGTGAATTACATCCTTCAACAAAAGTTACGAAACAAAGTTACAAATGATCAATACAGTGACAAAACAAAGAAGGAAGTGACGTAAACGAGGATTGTTTTTATCAGAGCTTACCTAACAAAAAAGGAAAACAAAACAGAGGCAGGGGAGTTTATCTAAGAAAAAAAAAAGAAAAACAGAGGCAGGGGCGTCGGTGGCGGCAGCAAGGGCGGGCGGCGGCGGCGTCGGCGTCGGCGGCAAAGAACAGCGGCGTCGGCTTCGTGGGGGAGGAATGGTGTGTTTTTGTTATCGTGGGTGGGTATTAGGTTTTTATCATTTATTTGTTTTTTTTTAAATTACTATGGGCATTGGCCTTTTTATTTGGGCCCAGAAAACTTATGCCCCTTCTCATTCTCATTATTTATTTTTATTATTATCTGGGACTTAGAATCATATTGCATAAATCTCCGTACCTTGATTTTTTTTAATTTGGGTTATGACCAATGACCATGAGCTTAAATCTCACCCGAGTATAAATCTTGCTAAACATTCATAAATTGAGACTTGTACAAATTCGTTCAAGATTCAGGCAAAATTCGAACGAGTTCGAAGAAAATACGTCGAAGATTCATGTAAAACTCGAGCGAGTTCAAAGAAAACTTGTCCGAGAATCATACAAAACTCGGCGAGTTCGAAGAAATTTACGGATTCACAAGCGAGTTTCAATAATTTGGRATAAATTTCAAATGAAGTCAATGTTATTATAATATAATATGCACAACTTGTTTGAAAACAATGTTAGCATGTGCTTTAAATTTAGAGATGTTAAATCTATTTTATTATTTACAATTAATGAAAATGAATTGAAGATACGAAATTATAGTGGGAGGGAACTAAAAAATTATAAACCTTTTTAACGTTCCAAAATATTCCTATTCTACAACTAAATATCGTTATGTATAAATATTTAATTATACAAAATGAATACAAAACTTTTTACATTCTAATTTTTCAGATTACATTCACCTCATATACATAATTTCATACAATATTTGTAATGACATTATTTTTAATATAACAATTAAAAATATATAGATATTTTTAAATTTTAATTTTTWAAAAAAATACTTTTTGCCTCATTTAGTCCTTTCTTTTTATATAATTTCAACCTCATTAAAGAAAAATTATTTTACTAATTATATTTATAATTATACTAATTATTTGAAAATTCTATAAGTTCCTGTGAATGAAATGAAAAAACTTTTTTGTATTATAATTTTTTAGATTAATTACCTAATATTATTAATTAATTAATTTACTATTTATTTCTTTAAAAAATATTGTAATTATGATCAATAAGTTCACCAAACATTTGAAATWAAAAAAATACACTAATTATAAAATAAAATAAAAACAATAGCAACAATTAGACTAAAACCTTAGCTATAGATTCATATCACAAATTGGATTTGTAATGTCAGTACCTAAGATCTGAGACATAGATCTAACATGTAATCTTGTAACTTGAATATGCCACCAACATCTTGAGACGTATTTGAAAATTGATGAATTCTCTAAGAGCAACTCTAGGATTCGAGATATAGATCCAACATCTGTTTCCCTTGAATATATCACCAACATCTTGAGACATCTTTGAAGATTGAAGAGGTTTTTTAGAACAATGAATTCAAAACGCTAAAAAAAATGAATGGATCTCTAAGTGTTTATGAACAATAGATGGTTAAAAGTTACAAAACATTAGAAATTCTATTATAAATTATAATTGAATGAATTTTTTAAAGTTGTATAAAAGACCTTTTGCATTCCAACCTTTTATATTCCATTATTGATAATTAATTATTAACTAATTAAATTGTGTGTAAAAGACTTTTTGCCTTCCAACCTTTTTTATATTCCATAGAGTAATTATTAACTAATTTCCTTTGAAAAACAAATTATTAACTAATTAATTTACTATATTTAGATAAAGTGATAAAATAATTAATTGATTTTTTAAAATTAATTAGTAGTGGCATGTCTAGTAATTTAGAAATTGAAAGAGGGTCATATTAGTCTAAAATATATTTTGATAGGATTGTCCATTTTTAATATAGTATAGATAAATGAATTATTCRTTGTATTGTCCAACCGACGAAGGTGGTGAAAGATTTTTAACCTTTTTAAATTATAAAATATAAAAAAAATTTGTTTTATTTTATTTATTAAACAACACCCATCCCACCCAGAAGTAACTCATATTTTCAGGTTTTTCTTTTAAGTTTACCATTATTACTATTTATTTTTATTCTACAAAGAAAAAGAATGGTACAAGGCAGTAAAGAGAAAGGTAGTGATCTAACATGGGMTCATTGTGTGAAAATTGAAAAAGGGAAAAATATAAGACTCAAATTAAGATGTAATCATTGTGGAAATTCTTATTGGGGAGATATTTTTAGGATTAAAAATCATCTAGCACATACTCGAAAAGATATTTCTCCATGTAGTAAAGTTTCAGATGAAGTACGAGAT